AAAATTTTTTTTTTTTTTTTTTTTTTTTTTTAGAGGGGGAAAAAAAAATGTGGGTGGTGAAAGTCCATTAATTAAAGACCCAGTCTGACCAGTAACTCCATCAATGATGTATCAGCCCTTCCTTTAATGTCTTGGCTTGGACAACAAACAAATTATAGAATTAAATTATGAATTATGGGAGTTTTGATGGTGCGATGGCAGAGATTTAATATTAAAGCACATACAATAATTTAATTTTCTCACTGAAACTAGATGAAAAGACTCAAAGTGTCTTTTAGATATATATTAGATCTACTGTGGACGAGCACGCATTCTGAATTTATAATTAGTGTTTCTCTATATTAAGATTATTTTAATGGATTTGAGCTTTGAACTTTGCTGAAAAAACACCTATATGAGACATGGACACTCAATACCGTCACTCTGCATTCTGCACACCTTTGGGAAAGAACTAGCCCTTTCACAAATCCAGACTTTTGACATCACTTAAAGTCTGGTTAGCAATACATTCTGGCCACAAACTGATAGGAACGGTGTTGTTTTAGTATTAATTGCATAGTATTTATTAATATATATATTATTAATATATATTGAATTGGCTTTTATTTATATATTTTTAGGTTTCATTGTAATTAAGTTTCAGTAATTTGTTTTGTCATTTTATATATATATATATATATATATATATTTCTATTTCACTTTAATTTATTTTTATTTCAGTTTTAGAAATTTTAGTACTTCAACTTATTTCAATTAGTTGCAATGTTTATAATAACCTTTTTTTCCAATTTAAGTTGTCCATGTAATTTTTATATTTTAGCTTTATTTCAATTAATGCAAAAATATATTTTTTTACAGTTTTAGTTAACAAAAACAACACTAGATAATAACCACAGTTTTCTTTGATTTCATGCTCAATTTGAAATCAATAACATCTAAATGTGTTAATCTCAGTGGGCGGTTGTACAGTAACCACCATAAATAGTGGAAAAAGTGTGCGAGTATCTAGTGTAATAGCTTTGTGCTTGAAAACAAAACTCTGAACGCATTTTAAATATATGAAAGCCACTAACCCAGCACTTTTTAAAAATAACTGAATAGTTATTCATCTGATCATTTAAAACAGTCAACCTAATTCCTTTCAAACTATATTTTGTTTCCAGGTGGACTGATAAAAACCTATACACATCAATTCCCGGAAATTGCGTTACAGTCAAGCAATTTCATTGTACCCTTGTGAAAATGTCCAGTTTTACATGCAATATTCATCAGATGGTCAGTAAACAGACTGTGGGTGGCTCATGGGAGACTATAGGACACTGCCACGCCTAATGGACAAACACAAAGCTCACAATATTCAAACCAGCCATCTGGGTTCATCGTCTCACTTTTTCTGATATGCAAGATGACGAGACACAGGACAGATGTTAATACCCGACTCTTATTTAAAAACTCACTCATGTAGTAACAGGCAAGGCTGGTAAAGCAAAAGTCAAAGAAAAGTCACCTTCTGCCTATTAAATGACAAGCCCAACGCTCCAATTCTACAAGCCTTCATAAATTTTAACTACAGGAAATAAGGGGCTGCCAAATCTCAGCAGCCATCTTGAGTTGTCTTTGTCAAGTAAAATGTTATATTCCATCATCTTTTCAAAAGAGAGAGCGAGAGTGTGTCAGGGAGAGGAGAGGGTATCCTTCCCTGCTCGGCTGTGCTTAATTGAGAACTGGTGAGCAGAGCACGGCCCAGGTTTAAACTAGTGGTCGACCGATATATCGCCAAGGCCGATATATCGGCCGATATATGCCATTTTTCAAATATCGGCATCGGCTGATAAGTTTTTCTGTTTGGCCGATGTTTTCGAGGCGGGACTTTTATTTTAACGGCGCCGAGAACGCAGTGCTCACATTCTCCCTCTTGTTCTCTGTTGTCATTCAGTTCTGTCTTAATACAGATAGAAGTCTATCTAATAATCAGATAGAACTGTTGAACAAAGGAATTAAAATGTATACAAAAAAGTATTATAACGATTGCTTTAATATTATTAAAGGCAAACATTATAATACTTTCTCGTTTGCCGTCAGCATTCCGCAAATACGCATTTATATAATTTAAACAAATCTTTGAATGACTAATGAACATTTAATTTCACAAACCTTGCAGACTTAGTCGAATCTAGTTGAGATCTTGTGAAGTGTGCATGTGACCTGCATTATCGCGTGTTCTGTGACAATCGGTGCTATGGTCCATGCGAATTGAATACGGACAGGAGGAGAGTTCAGCTTCACTGGAGACGCGTGATCGACAAACTTTAAACTTGTGACTGATTTCAAATTATGCTGCGCTTTATGCATTTGCCCACTGTCATATTCATGTCATTTTCACTGTGTGCTGTATGGAAAATGAGTGTTACCTTGGCTTTATTTGAAAAAATATGATTCCCAATGCACACAAACTTCCCAGAAAACTGAATGCCCTGTTGGTTACAGTGTTTACTTCCTTTTTAATTATATTTTAATTAAATATTTATTTGTGAAAAATGCTTTGTCTTCTAGAGCAGTGTTTCCCAACCGGGGTGCCGCTCTATGCGTGTGCGCTCCGTCAGTCGCTCCACTCGTATACCGTTCATGCTCAGCGAACAGCAAAGTCCACTCAAAAATTGAGCCGACAGGAAACATCTATGTAGTACAGTATTGTTTCTGTCTGCAATAGCCCTACTGTGTTGTAACATGGTGTGGTATATGGACAACTCTGGTAACGGTACCCTCTCATTCATTGATCTGCTAACCGCTATGTTATACTCACGTGTCCTCTGATAATAATAGCTTTCTAGGACTAAACATTATTTGGGTAATTGGTAAAAAAATTAATGTTAAATATCTTAACCCTACTGTTAGACCTACCTGAAAAACGAAGCAGCAATTTATTTCATTCGAAGGCCTGTCGTTATTTTTTATTTGTGCTATCATTCATTTCTTTATTTGTTCTTATTTTACTACTGACTGCTTAGTTGTCATTTTTTATTGAATTCAAAGTTTGAAATCAAGCTATCTCGTGCTACTGCACCAAAATTACCTCACTGTAAAATGTAAAAAAAAAAACACTGAGTGAGCAAAAATTTGTGAGATAGCTATTATAATGGTAATTAAATAATGTTTACATATGTATAAAATCCTACATTAAAATGTCATATAAATTGGTCTCTTCAATAGAAATTAGCCTACTGATTGCCACAATTGATGGACAAAATTTTTTAATAATATTACAAATATCTGTATGACATTATATTCTGCAGTTCTTCCCTGTTGTACCGAATATCTATACTTTTCAAATTATCATATCGAAGTTAGAAATTCAAATATTGTGACAAAATTAATTTTGTAGGGTGCAACAAGTTTTCCAAAAATTTCCAAAGGGTGCCGCGACTAAAAAAAGGTTGGGAAACACTGTTCTAGAGTATAAGTATGTTTATTTTACACGTTTATTTTTTTAATGATTTCAAATTTCTTAAATATTAATTAAAATAAATGAAATTATATCGGCCATCAGCCACCCTGCTTTCCAAGATATCGGCATCGGTATCGGCTGTCAAAAAACCCATATTGGTCGACCACTAGTTTAAACACGACTCCTTTGGAGATTATGATAGTCGATCCAGTGGGCTGTGATGGGCCACAGCAGGCCTGGCTAATGAGAAGGCTGTTCAGGGGCTGTAGAGAGAACAGTGGGTCTAACACCACCGTCTCCTGTGGGGAAAATGAGCCTAAAGCAAACCGATTCCACTGGCAATTGTTCAGGGCCATTTCACAGAGTGGCCCGCATACGCATCATTAAGTTCCAAAAGCTTAGGACAATATTACATCGCTTCTAGCCAGAGGGAGAAGGGCGGATAGAAAAGACGTGTAATGAGCAGATGTGACCAGAAGAGGGAGTGAGAGATCAAAACGTAGAAATATGAAAAGCAATAATGTCTGATAAAGCCCTAGAGCAGTGGTCACCAACGTGGTGCCCGTGGGCACCTGGTAGCCCGCATGGAGTCTCTGAGTCGCCCGCCAAGCACGTCCTATAAATAGCCAAAATTAGCATCGGGCGATAAATGATATCATATCGAGATTGATCAAATTTATGTTAATAATGATGATAAGCTCTGGACATTTTTACTTAATATGGATTAATCACAACAGAAATAATTGTTACAGCAACCAGTCAGTGCATGTTGCTAATAAGTCTGCATGTCCTGTGTGTCTCTGAATGCGTGTAGTAGTTTCATCTGATACGCAAACTCAAACACACTTCACTCGCGGTGTTTTCAGCGTCTGCGTCCCAATATATGAGGACACGAACACATGCATCTTCAGAGCTGCTCTGAGAGTCACTTCACCAGCTTTATGCAGTGTCATTTGAGAAAAAATACCGTCAAATACACGCTGAAACTGAAACTAAAACTAAAACTGAAAGACCTTCACGACGAACCGTCAAAATAAAAGTCCGGTTTAACGTGAAATTATATGACTGAATAGATTACTACTGTATACTACAATGCAATTCTCAAAGTAATAATAATATTATTATTTTTAAGGAATATCATACAACCAAGTTATATTTGTATTATTATTAATTTATACAGTTCTGTCAAACGGCAAATTTCAACATTACTGATAAAAGAAAGTAATACTGAATTAAGTGTTAAACTTATTATTAATGTTTATAGTCATTTGTTAGTGAGTTCCCAGAATATGCACTACAAGACATAGAAATACAAATATAAACACATACACTGGCCTGAGTTGGATTTTTTTATATTTAAGTATGATGTGCACATACCTTTCGTTCAAAAGTTTGGGGTCTGTAAGATTTTTTCAAAATCTTTTTAGTCTCTTATGCTCACGAAAGCTGCACTTATTTGATTAACCCCTTAACTGTCACCGTCCCGTATACATTTAACAAGGAGTTGAACAAGACTGGGAAGTACTCTGTTCATTTTAAACAGTGTAATTTAATGTTTAGGCAAAATCAAAGCTATAATAACTTACAATGGGAACCACTTTATTCAAGTGAAGTTTTATAAGGGGGATATATTAGCCCCATGGAACTGACTATATTTAGTTTACGTAAAGTATTCAACTGAACTTAAATTCTTAATTATGAATTCTACCAATAAAATCAATATAAAAAGTCAAATTCATAAGGTATCCCCTTCAAACCAGTGAAAAGAGGGTTTTGTCATTATGTTTAACTGTTTTTTATTGTTTTGGCTAATAAGTTAGCATGGTTTTAATGTAGTAACATTGATAGTATTTTGGCGGAACAGGATAGACTTTAATTGAGCGTTTCATCATCATAAAGAAAGGCTGTAACAATAACAAGTGAAAGTTAAAATAAAAAAATAATATGACTCATAATCAAGTTTAATAAAGCCTGTCCCGGTTTGTTTTCATGGAGCGTTTACTTCCAGGCTCTCTCGCGTTACTGAGTTTCTCCATGGACAGTTCTTGGTTGGCTAAAGACCTACGTGTCAATTTCTCATATCTGCTCCCCTTTCATTCACCAGAGCAGACAAAGTAAACAGTTCAAAACTGCGGCGCCTTGCCTGGTTAGGGGGCCCGAGGAAGCTGGCCGCTCATCGAGTCTTACAGCAACACAGAAACACGAGCCCCAGCACAAAACCTGAGGTTTATTCATTACACTTTTTGGTGTGAAAGGGCTTTTATAGTTGCTATAAATAGAACTATTAAAAACAATCAACCCCTGCTTATATTTAAAAAGTAACGCGAAAGTAACGCAAAAGTAATATAACGCATTACTTTCCATAAAAAGTAACTAAGTAACGTGATTCGTTACTTTTTTTAGAGAGTAACGCAATATTGTAATGCATTACTTTTAAAAGTAACTTTCCCCAACACTGACTATGAATGTGTAAAAATGACTTTTTACCGCAAGGAATTAACAGTCTCACACACACTTGCATACTAATAAACCAAGCTTAGCAGGATGTGTGTGTGGGGGGGGGACAGAGCTGATTTGTTGTCATTTGGAAAAACACTTTGCAGGCCTTAAACGCTTTTAATCGAATCGATTGAGCAAAAGAATGATTCAATAAACACTCTTGTAACGCACCTGACCGCATCAGAGAATGAATCTTCTGGTGAACCGATTCAAAAGTTTCGAGTCACTAGATTGAATTGATATCCCCCCAAGACGTTTAACCGCAAATTCAACCCGCAATTCTGTGGTTTGCCCTAGCTTTTTGGTTTAAATCAGTGTAGAACAAACTCTAGAACTGTTTAAAAAGCTCAGCTTTGATAGAAGAGAGGGTTTAACAAACTATCCGCGTTTGTTATGAAAAGTGTGCCTCTTTACAAATATTGAGTTGTAGCTGCAAGATATTTAGACTTAGCGACTGGTATATAATAATGTTTGGCATCATTTACAACAGCAAAATGAAAGATGTCAAAAGTGTAAGGAAACTTTGACTATAATGTTGCATAACTGGTCATCTGGAAGACCGCTCAACTTCTCTCAATCTCTGCTGCTCATGAAAACAACGGAAAGACTAGCCAAAAGTCAAAAGAGCTAAATGAAAAGCAATAAGCTGCAGAATGCATGCCTGACTTTAAAAAAATATATGAACTTTTGAAGTCTTAGCAATCACTAGTGAGTTAGCCAGCACCCCCAGACCAATACTTGTGTCCCTTGTGCTCTCCTACCATCTTCACTATTCCCCTCTGCAGCTGCGGAGCTGAAGCTGGGTTGGACTGAACTTGTGCCGCTACTGCAGATGCCATGTCCGCTGGGCTGAATGAGTATTCCGTTAGGGAGGGAAGAGAGAGAGAGAGAGAGGTAAAGGAACCGGGAGAGTCCTACGAGACGCCTCTACTGTGAGCCGAGGAAGGGAAGAGAGACTGAGCAGCACGACTGATCACGCTTTGCTTAACCGGAAGCACAGCGTGAGGATGTACACGTCGAAATGTTGCACTTCCTCGGTCACCGCGTCACACTCGTGCGCTGAATGAGGCGATTTGGTTGTGTGACGTTAGAGTGCGAGTGATGACATCCGGTGAGTGGGGAGGTGCGACACGTCAGCACAGATTTGAAAAAACACACCCCCTTAAATGTTTAAAGGGGTCATGTGATGCGATTTCAAGTTTTCCTTTCTCTTTGGAGTGTTACAAGCTGATAAGATCCCTGAAGTTGCAAAGACTAAAGTTTCAAAACCAAAGAGATATTCTTTATCAAAGTTAAGACTCTGCCACGCCCCCCTAAAACGGCTGGTTCTAACATGCCCCCACATATCTACCTCACTATGTGGAACATGATGTGCATGCAAAGAAAGAAGGCGTGGTTTCAGTAACCGCAGTTAGTGTTGAAGCAGCCATGTCAGGGAGACGCTGTGTGTTTCTAGGCGAAAGCAAAGCACTTTATTTGGCCTTCTGAAAGTAGATGCATTAAGATGACTTACAACAGAACAGCACTGCATTTTATGGACGACCGTTTCGTGAACCTAGGAGAGGAGTTCTGACTTTGCTATGAATGAATTTCAATTAATTTGGTTTCTTTTTCTGACTTGGCTACTGTTTCATTCATACTTATTTTCTATATATTACTTGGCGCCGACTTTGAATAAGCATATGTACACTAAAGATATAGGCCTAGATATGACAGGAGATATAAATTTGGAGGCCCAAACCTGCAGAAATGAAATTAAGTTAAATGTAAAAATAAATAAATAAGTGTAATTTGAATTAAATTTATCCCTGAATGTATGTTTGTGTTCCTTCTTTAACCTTTATTTATTATTCGCTGCATTTCTTTTAACTTTATAATTTAATCTTTTATTTTTTTTAATTTTTTTATCTATCTATCTATCTACAGTATCTATCTATACTTTTCTGTGTTCAACATGAAAATGAGACAGACGTATCTCCAATGCATCACTGGTTGTGAGCGCACGTAAAGAAGCGTCAGATCTTTATGCCTAGAATATATGAAAGATATTGTACCCACTTCGGTTTGTAAATTGAAATTATCCAATTTAAAAAAAAATCACAATAGTCACTATTGACACTATTAACTGTAAGTGCCTTAAACATAAAACCCTTGTAATCCTTATTTTGATAAGTATTTTCAATCCATAAAACATGTCAAAAAATGCATGATTTGTTCATTTAAATGTGTAATTTAATTTACAGGTCTCCCGCATAAAATATAATTTATTATTATTATTATTATTATTATGAGACGTTGAGACATTTAAGTGTTGCATTGATTCATTGTAATTTGGATTTTGAAATTCGATTATTTTTTACAAATTAAAAATTAAAAAACAAAAAACATACAAGCAATAATGTATACTATCAAGTCACACAATTGCGTCTTTAAAGGACCGCTCTGTCGCACCTGTTACACTGTAAACTGGCCTGTCAATCATCTTGTCACAGTTAACATCCTCCACATTTCATTTAATTTAACTTCCTACCGTACTGGAGAGAAAAGAAGTAGCACATTGATCTGCCAGTCTCGGGTCTTTCATGCCGAGAACTCTTCTCATATTTTCTGCATAGTGATGCATTTAAAAGTTTACGACCAAATGGATGTTCATAAAAGTTCGCATTACTGTTGCAGATTAAATATAACACGGATAACAATAAATAAATATTTTTTAGCAGGTTAAATGTTGATTATTAGTAACTCAAAAGTTTATTTTACAATAAGACCTTACAGTAGGCATAGGGCTTATTTTTATCTAATAAAATTCATGAAAGGGATTTTCATATTATATGAACTGGAAGTCAAATTGGACATTTTTTTACTCACGCCCACAACCGTACAATTATAATTCACCCTTTTGATTGTCAATTTACTTGATTAATAAAAGGACCAGGCCGCAGCTTATGTTATAAGAGAGCTATTGAAACATTAGCCGTTCATTGTCCATTGAAATACTCGGATCAAGGCGCGCACAATAACCTAATCACATCATTCCCTTCACATAAGCCTGCAAAAAAAAACTCTTACTCTTACAATGCTGGATACATGAGTAACCAAGAGCTTTGGATATGATATGGTATGGTTCAAGTTTTTGAACAATTATGTAATTCACTTACACATTTGGGGAGGAAATGTAAGAGATTCGATCTTTATCTGCAATCTTGCTCTGGCACAGAAACGCACTTTCTTATTTGTAAGACACCCATGAGCTTTGGTGCGAACTAAAAGCCATCGAGAGTCTGTATTTACTTTCTTCCTATGTGGACAGTACGTCATCTTGATAAGGGCACTGTGTTATATATAAGAAGTCACGCGCGGGGGCATTGAGTGGGGGCCACACGCAGGGACGCATCTCCTTCAAGAAGAATAAGACCATCTCCGCTGCAAGAAGAGGGTCACCCGGCTTTTAACTCATTCGTTTTGCAAAGTGTTTTTTCTCGCATTAGATTTCAGGATCATTTAATACATTAAATGTTTGCTAAAATATAATTTTTTTTTGCAAGGCCCCCAGCCAGGTGCCCGTTGGGGATGTGCGGCGCAAATTCTGATCAGGGAAACGAAGGTTGGCAATTGATCATTACAGTTCTTCCAAAGATTTTCAACCCACAATTGCTAAAGTTAGACTTTTACTGATTAATACATTGAGATGAAACTGAAAACTATTTTTATATGGCATATGTGATATTTATATAGCCTACATTTGTATAACCCATTCACTGCTGAGGATTTGCTGGTGAGCAAGTGATGTAATGCTCAATTTCTCCAAATCTGTTCTGATGAAGAAGAACATTTTAAGCAAATTTTCATTTTTGGGTAAACTATTCCTTTAAATGCACAAGTCTAGCCTATAAAACTTGAACACTGCTGCTCTTATTGATCAGGAAAAATGATTGTATGACTCATGAATAATTGATGTCATCAGGTGTCTTCCATAAACCGGATTCTTAAGAAGATTCATCTAGATGTGGACATGGTGGGCAGTTCATATCCAAATGTAAAACGCAGTTACACAGGTAATCTGTTTCATTCAAAATTCAAATGCGATAGAGTGAATACAGCTGAAGCGTGGCATGTTCTGATCATTAATCACTGTAAATGGTTTCTGTGTTACGGGGGCAGTGAGTGGGCCTGATATACCATTCAAAAGTTTGTGGTCATTAAGATGTTTTAATATTGTTTTAAAAGAGATGCTCACCAGGGCTGCATCTAGGCCTATTTGATAAAAAAAATTAAAATAAAATAAACAAATACAGTGAAAATATTATGAAATAATATTACAATTTAAAATAACAATTTTCTATTTGAATATATTTTTAAATATAATTGATTCCTAATAAATAAAGCTGAATTTTCAGCATCATTACGCCAGTCTTTAGTGTCACAGGATCCTTCAGATATCATTCTAATTTGCTGATTTAGTGCTTGTTGTGCTGCATAATTGCTTTGAAGAAACTGTGATACATTTTTTTTTCAAGATTCTTTGATGAATAGAAAGTTCAAATGAACAGCATTTATTTGAAGTAGAAATATTTTGTAACATCATAAATGCCTTTACTGTCACTTTTGACTAATTTAAAGCATCCTTTCTGAATAAAAGTATACATTTCTTAAAAAGATCCTACTGATCTAAAACAGTTGAATAATAGTGTATTAAATACAATTCTAGATGATACTTTTATGATAAATACAAAAAGAAGGCTTTACTGTTTTACTTACACAAGTCTAGCATAAAGTTGCTTATGTTTAGAAGAGTAATGAAAAAGATGATTTAAGTGTAAATGTCCTACCTGTGTTCATCCTACTTAAAGGTCTTGAATCAAATATGTATACTAACCTTCCCTCTTTCACTTCCGGTCACCCTAGAGGAACAAGAGGAACAAGCTCAGACAAATCAGCAACAACTGAACACGAATCTGCGAAGCACCTGTCATCGCAGCAGAACAGCTTTCACCACAGATCAGTGCGAGAGGTTAGAGAAAGGTGATCACTTTAATCTCTCACTATCTGTTCACAGTCATCCGTGTGCTGTTATACTGAGCTACTTTATAACGTCTCCCCTTCTGATTTCTGGCTATTCAGAGTTCATCCGTGGGCTTTATCCAGACCTGCTTACCAGAGAAAAGCTGTCTGAGGAGACAAACCTTCCACAGAACACTATAAAGGCAATTCAGCTTCAAAATTTAAGCTAACAAATGCTTTTGTTCCTTAAACGTAATAATCTGTCATATGAAAAAGAGGCTTCCAGAGTTGGCATGCATATATTTAAAGGGGCTTGTGTTAGATGTTTGACCTGATCTTGATCTTCCATCTGAAGGTTTGGTTCTCCAATCGCAGAGCGAGGATGAGGAGGGAACAAAATGAAGAACAAAGTGACTGTGGATCACTGGGTATGTGCTGATGTCTTGTTTTAATTGTAGAATTGCATAGTCTGTATTATAAATGGTGTCTCTTTCTCAGGTGTAACTAGGCCGGGGTTTCTGGGAAGCAGGAATGCTTTGATTTCGTTGTCAGCAACATCTGGCAGCTCATTGGACGGTTACATGGCTCATCACTCACAATCCGCTTTTCCACTGACCCATCACAGAGACAAGAGCACTTTCCCATTGGCTCATTTGAATTTAAATGCAGCGTCAACATGTCAATTGGATCACACAGAGAGTTTGATGCCACCATGCAAACATGGTAATGAGGAATCAGTTTACCGATTTGTTCCCTTTATCACAGATGAAAGGATCTTAATGGCTGATCATTCACAGTGGGCTTCTCATCAAACTCTGATTGGACAGAATGTTTCAATGTTTTGAATTCCAAAATAGAACATTCATGAACATTGATGTTGTGGACAGTAGAGGGCAGCAAAGGAAAGAAATAGTGGCGCTTGTTGTGGAAATTAATTTTTTTTTAATTTTTTGGACAAAATATTGGGTTTGTTTCTTGCTAAATGAACAAGGTTATTTAAAAACATGTATTTGATATTTTGGTTGTATGATTTAAGTGAAAGAAATGGTTTAAAAATTAAATGGACCAGCAACTTAAAGATTGTCTGATTCCATTCAAATTAAAAATGATTTTTCAAATCAATGGAAATATATAATAAACAGCTAAGAACAAACAAAACATACACTGAAAAAACATCACGTTTTTAATGAGTCTTTGTTTTTCTCCAGTAAAATAATAAAAAATTCTTAAAATGACATGAATTAAAAGAAGCAACTCAAAATATTTTAAAACTCGTTTTTTTATAATGTATTTATACAAGGTTTATGAATATTAATTTAAGACCTTTTTTAAGACCAATATGTTCAAGTTCAGTTTATTTATTGAGCACATTTAAAAAGTGCTACAAGAAAAGATCAAATAAAAACATGAAATTTTTTTTTTTTATTGAGCACATTTAAAAAGTGCTACAAGAAAATATCAAATAAAAACATAAAACAAATGTTGAGTACACTAATTTAAGGATGTTTAGATATTTTAACTGGAAAGCACGAAAAATATTGAGGAAGATTTTCATTTTTTGCACTGAACGCAACATTTAATGCAATGACTTTATTTAAGACTTTAGGCTCAGATTTAAGAATTGTTAAGGCCTTAATTTGTGGAAGGACAAATTAAGACTTTTTAAGACCTGCAGAAAACCTAAATATAATACATTTTTATAATTTTTACGCTGTAATTTTGCAGTGTAGAAACACAGGGATTAAAGTTCCATCGCTACGACGGATTTCTGTCAGTTCATAAAGACACTCACTTGCGTCATTCCTGAATGAATGAGCCGTTGGAACGAATCAATTGAATGAATGATTTAGTGATAAAATCAGTGACTTGCCGCCACCTGCTGGCGGATTTAGTTTCATTTTTAGCGTATAATTTCAGTTATTTAAATCATATTTCTGTATTCAAAATTGTATATTTAAAACGATAATCTCCACATGAATTAATGAATTTAATTGCACTCATGCTACCTCGGAGCCGATTATCATGATTACCAGAGGTGGCATGAAGTGCAATTAAATTAATAAATTCATGTGGAGATTAATGTTTTAAATATACAATTTTGAATACAGAAATATGATTTAAATAACAGAAATTATACGCTAAAAATTAAACTAAATCCGCCAGCAGGTGGCGGCAAGTCACTGATTTTATCACTGAATCATTCATTCAATTGATTTGTTCGAACGGCTGAATCATTCAGGAGTGAAGCAAGTGAGTGTCTTTATGAACTGACGGAAATCCGTCGTAGCGACGGAACTTTAATCCCTAAGAAACATGTCAGGGCCCCTTCATTCTACATTTAGCAGCAAAAGCAATTTAGCTTGAGAAATTAGGAAATAGGTGTTTTTTTAGAAAAATACACAACAAAAACAAAAGTCCTAGTGGACAGCTTGCAGTACATGCGCCAAGAGCCCTGCTATTCAGTTTTCCTTGGCGGTCTCTACCTTTGAGGCCACTGGCACTAGTACCTGCACTTACTTACATAAAAACTTAGTACTATAGTATGCACTCTCTCTTTCTCTCTATCTTTCTCAGACCACCTCTGTCAGTTCATCTGGTAAGAAATCTCTCCTGTGAGCATTGGCCTAAACTCACATACTTCTACACGGTGAATGAACAAGATCAACACTTGGACACAAACCAGAATGCTTCAAGCACTAGCAGGGAGTCTGGACAACACTGACAAACATGCAGAGGTCAAACTCACAGGCCTTTTTCTAATATGAATGCAATGAATCAAAATAGGTTTGTGTTTATTTTCAACATTAGGAAGATCAAACACATAAACCCTTAGGGAAAACCTCTGTGTTTTACTGTACATCGGAGTCCTATAGAAGATCAGACGCCTTGTGTCTGTTCCAGTGGTTTTCAACTCTTGTCCTCTGGGACCCCACAACAACATAATTTGTTCCAGCCTTGAACTAACACATCTGATTCAACAATAATCAGCCGCCGCTGGATTAATTGAATCAGGTGTATTAGTTTAACCTTGCATGGCGGCGAAAATCCATCATGGAGCTGGAGCTGAAACAGCTTATTCATGAAAGCTCTCCTGACTCTCATCCATGATTGCTTCAACATACTGTCTGCCTGCTCCCGTCTGACTGCTTTATGAATTCAGTTTGCTTTTTAACAGTTTGAACTTTGACCTTCGACCCCTGCTGATTTAAAGGGTCATGAAACCCCAAATGACTTTTTCTGAGATTTTAGCAGAGGTGTTTGTGTTGCACATCATAGAAGACAATGTTAGCATCCGATAATTGTAACTGTTGGAGAAAACTGGTTAATTTGAAGCTTTGCGCGGTTTTCATCTTCCGGGTTTAAAATCGACATCGTGTTGACGTCACAGTCTGTGACGTGGCAAAGGACTATAGGCTTGTTTGAGATGAGCAAAATCTGCGCAGAACCGATCACCGGTGATCACCACGAGATGCGTGCCGGTTAGAAATATGTCCGAGTTACGTCCGACTTGCTCTGATGTCATGCTGACGTGTGCCAAAAAACTCTGGCGATGGCGAAGCGGCTGTGTCGGATTGTGCAGTCGAGCGCAGTTGTTCTCCACCGACTGCGCTGATCAAAAGCATGATGGGAAACGACTGACTGACGACACAGCTTAATGCTCATTGGTTCAGACAACCTAGATGCTGCGTTCTCTTCTAATATATTTTATTTCTTTATCTGGTTTCATGTGATTTAAGTATTTCAGTTATGCATGAATATTCCCAAACACTATGACAAGTGCGATCTCTGTGTGAGATATGTGATTGTTGTCATATTGCTATACAAATCTAAAATACATGTTTGTTTTAAAGTAAAAATGAGTGATAAATACGCCTTTCGTATGAAATGAAATAGCAAGCACTTTGAGTGTCTTGTTCATCATATTTATTTTTATATAAAGGCAACAGAACTGAAATTATATCATGGTAATCAGCAGAACAGCACATGAGTGAGAATAACGCGATATACCTCACTGCAGCCGTCTACTCTCGCCTACATTTCAGGCGAGGCCAGACACATCTCAAACAAGCCTTAATAGTACATCGATGACGCTATTAAATTATTCATGAGACTGCGTGTTCTTACCCTATGAGAAGACGCTTCGCTTAATTATTCACAACAGCATGTGTTGATTTGCTATGACAAACGCTTCAGTCTGTGAGATGACATCGGCACATTAACTGAGAGAATCGTTCATGGATCAAAGAGTAACAAGAGTTCGGCACAAACTCGATTAATTCACTTAGTGAGTGTAACCGTGTTTACAGCTCCTTGACACAATCCGTCAAAAGGCTTATATAAACACCGCTAAATAAGCCTTACAAGTTATCAGAGGTGCAACAGCGCGTTCATATATCAATGGAGAGTGCAAATGGCTGTGATTTATTTGTGTTTTCAACTCGATGGGAGCGAAATGAAACTGTCTGAACCCGAAGCTGTGTGTTGTCTGTCTCCTCTCTTCCCTCTCCACTATTTTTATTGTTTTTTTTTTAGCGTTTTTTAAAAAATGTGGTGAGAACTAACCAGTGCTGAAACGGGGTTTCATGACCCTTTAATTTTCCTGAAGGAAACAGGAAACTATTGGTTTAGTTCTGCGTGTCATTTTTTCCTCACACGTCCTTTTGCAAAGGCCATAGAGGAGGTTGTATTCATCAGCTATGGTTTGCCTGAACACAACCTGCTGAAAGCAAACCGACACACACACACACACACACACACACACACACACACACTCTCTCTCTCTCAAATCTGCGCAGAACCGATCACCGGTGATCACCACGAGATGCGTGCCGGTTAGAAATATGTCCGAGTTACGTCCGACTTGCTCTGATGTCATGCTGACGTGTGCCAAAAAACTCTGGCGATGGCGAAGCGGCTGTGTCGGATTGTGCAGTCGAGCGCAGTTGTTCTCCACCGACTGCGCTGATCAAAAGCATGATGGGAAACGACTGACTGACGACACAGCTTAATGCTCATTGGTTCAGACAACCTAGATGCTGCGTTCTCTTCTAATATATTTTATTTCTTTATCTGGTTTCATGTGATTTAAGTATTTCAGTTATGCATGAATATTCCCAAACACTATGACAAGTGCGATCTCTGTGTGAGATATGTGATTGTTGTCATATTGCTATACAAATCTAAAATACATGTTTGTTTTAAAGTAAAAATGAGTGATAAATACGCCTTTCGTATGAAATGAAATAGCAAGCACTTTGAGTGTCTTGTTCATCATATTTATTTTTATATAAAGGCAACAGAACTGAAATTATATCATGGTAATCAGCAGAACAGCACATGAGTGAGAATAACGCGATATACCTCACTGCAGCCGTCTACTCTCGCCTACATTTCAGGCGAGGCCAGACACATCTCAAACAAGCCTTAATAGTACATCGATGACGCTATTAAATTATTCATGAGACTGCGTGTTCTTACCCTATGAGAAGACGCTTCGCTTAATTATTCACAACAGCATGTGTTGATTTGCTATGACAAACGCTTCAGTCTGTGAGATGACATCGGCACATTAACTGAGAGAATCGTTCATGGATCAAAGAGTAACAAGAGTTCGGCACAAACTCGATTAATTCACTTAGTGAGTGTAACCGTGTTTACAGCTCCTTGACACAATCCGTCAAAAGGCTTATATAAACACCGCTAAATAAGCCTTACAAGTTATCAGAGGTGCAACAGCGCGTTCATATATCAATGGAGAGTGCAAATGGCTGTGATTTATTTGTGTTTTCAACTCGATGGGAGCGAAATGAAACTGTCTGAACCCGAAGCTGTGTGTTGTCTGTCTCCTCTCTTCCCTCTCCACTATTTTTATTGTTTTTTTTTTAGCGTT